GGAACCTGCCTTGGCAGGGGGGTTGAACTGGATGATCTCCTGAGGTCTGTGAAATGAGGGGCCACCTGGAATTGTGGTTCACCAGGTTGGATCTGGGCCCCAGGTGCACAAAAGACCCGCTTGACAGAGGTGCGGGAAGAACTCTGCTTTGTGTAGATGGGTACGGTGGTGGGAGCATGGTGGCCCATGCAATAACCCTTCATCTTTGTGTCCAGTTTTGGAGCCCTCAACACAAGAATGACGTGTACCTGTTGGAGCATGTCCAGAGGAGGCCACAAAAATGATCCAAGGGCTGGAGCAGCTTTGCTGTGAGGACAGGCTGAGAGAGTTGGGGTTGTTCAGCCTGGAGAAGAGAAGGTTCCAGGGAGACCTTCTAGCGGCCTCCCAGTACCTGAAGGTGCCTACAAGAAGCTGGGGAAGAACTGTTCACAAGTGCATGGAGCAATAGGACGAGGGGTGATGGTGACCCCTAGAAAAGGGTTGATTTAGGTTCGATATGAGGAGAAAGTTCTTCAGTATGAGGGTGGTGGATCATTGGAACAGGTTGCCCAGAGAGGTAGTGGAGGCCCCATCCCTGGAGATATTCAAGGTCAGGATTGATGGAGCTCTGAGCAACCTGCTGTAGTGAAGATGTCCCTGCTCACTGCAGGGGGGTTGGACTAGATGACCTTTGAAGGTCCCTTCCAACTCCATACATTCTATGATTCTGTGATCTCCTGAAACATGCTTGAGCTGCTCTGTGATTCAGAACCACATGGGAGGCTGGTGGCAGAACAATGTTGAGCTCCCCAAAGCCTTCGCTGTGCTGGTTCCACATCTGCCCCTCCAACCCTGTCTACTTTTCCCTGAGGATATTGACCAAACAGTTGAAGCAATTTCAGCTTCACTTGGCTGCTAGAGTTTAACCAGAGCCCTCGGCTGAGACCTGCTGGCAACTGGGGAAGGAATTGCTGTTTCAGGTGGGCTGGGGTAAGAAATATGGAAAAGAAAAAAATCCAACCCAAGAATACAACGATTTCCATGTGACACACAATAGTTTATTATAACAGCCATGACCCTGGAGAGCAGGTGTTCTGGTGACATAGACACTACAGGAGTTGTCCATCCTACAGAAACATGGAAATACTGTGATGTCCTCGATGGAAATATACCAAGAGACTCTTCACAACTCCTCCTGGGAACTCAAAAATCTGGGAACTCAAGTGGGGTTGTGTGGCAGTGGCTGAGGCCAGAGCTTGGCCTCGTAAATGAAAATACTTCAGGGCACTGTCTGTGGTCATTAGTGCAAGAGGGCCACGGTAATTAATGCCTGTGTGGAGGGGGGAACATCCCCCCACCTTGCTCGCAGCTGGACGTGACATCTACAGAGTTGGCTCTAGTAGTGATGTGACATCTACAGAGTTGGCTCTAGTAGCTTTGGTGTGATGTGACTGATGTGCGTTGGCTGGTGTCAGCCAGGGAAGGTCAAAGCTGCTTGGGATGTTTAATAAATACAAAGACAAGTCCTGCTTGTTGAGATTTTAACCAATATCCCATTTCTAGGGCCCAGCACCACTGTGGGTGGAGTCTGGAGCACCTTTAGGTGAGACAGGTGGACATGCTCTTGGCTAGAGAGGTGGCTTATTAAGGAGTTTTAGCTTTGGTGGCATAGGAAGGAATGAGGAGCCACCTAAAAGGCAGTAAAATCAATTAAATAGTCTGAAGTGGCCAAAGATCCCCCAGTACAACCAGTATGTTTGTCACCAACTATGCAAATGTCACAAATCCACCTGGCTCAGGTGATTTACCTGCATCTCCCCACCAGCTCAGCTTGGAAAGCTTGATGCTACCTTCCTCTGAAAGCCACATCAGTGAACACCTCACACAGAGCAGGGACAGAGCAGAGAAGAAGGATTTTGTAATGCTGGGCTGATGGCTTCTGGCTGCTGTGTTTAAAAGCTCGTGTAAATATGAAATCCAGGCTTGGATTCTGCTTGTAACTGGTAACAGAGATGTTAACTGGGATGTTTGTAAAGACAAACTTAAAAGAGGTGGCCTGGAGTGGATTCTCATCCTTTGTCCCTCAGAAGTTGGCTTGAGTTCAGGAGAAAGTGCTTTGGCCTCATTTGTCTATAGATGCCAACAGGTCTCGTGTTCATGCTGTGGGGCTCGGTTTCTCCTAGGAGCATTCTTCAGTGGGCAGGGAGCTGAACTTTGGCCGAGCACCACTGATGAACGTGTCTGCTTCAGGTGTCACTGAGTTGTCGCTGTAGCTTCTAGAAGGTGGCATCTTTCTGCTGATGCCATTTGGCTTCATCTCACCGTTGGTGCTGCCTGTTCCTCCTGCAAACAGCTTGGAGTTTCTCAAGGTGCTGGCGGAAACTGCAGGGGTTGAGGGAGGGAATGAGAGGGAGGAGGTTAGAAACATTTCATTCAGGCTCTAAATTAGATTCATTCAGATTCTAAATTAGAATCACAGAATCACAGACTGATTTGGGTTGGAAGGGACCTTAAAGATCATCCAGTCCCAACCCCCCTGCCAGCAGCAGGGACACCTTCCACTAGACCAGGTTGCTCAAAGCCTCATCCAACCTGGCCGAGAACACTTCCAGGGAGGAGCAGCCACAACTTCCTTGGGCAACCTGGGACACTGTCTCACCACCCTCACTGTGAAGAATTTCTTCTTAATATCTAACCCAAACCTCCCCTCTTCCAGTTTAGAGACATTTCCCCTTGTTCTGTCATTAACTGCCCTTGGCCAAAGTCCCTCCCCAACTTCCTTGTAGGCCCCCAAGTTGTACAACTAAAACCACTTACGGTGCTTTGTCCTGGAGTGGACGGTGCTGATGATTGTGGGGATGGGTTGCTCCATGCTGTGAACACAAGGACAGAGTGTGAGGACACATATTAACCCCTGCTGTGCCAGAGAGATACAGAGGACTGGAGTTTGGCCCATGGGAGCTGGACTGCTTGGGTAGAGCCAAGTGCATGGCTGGGTCATGAAGGCTCAAACAGCATCTAGGGAAAGCATCATCTAGAGAAGTGCTGGAACCCTCCCATCTGGGGAGCTTAAGGAAAACTTCAGAGCAAGAAACAGGGCTGAACTGTGTGGAGACTGCTGGGTTTTGTTCTTTCTTTGATCAAACCTTCAATGCCAGACTCAAAGCTTGGGATGTCTTCTTTCTCCCTAGGTGTTTGGCTGCATCCCTTCCCCTCTTCAGGCACAAGGAGGCCCAGCTTACCTGCTTTCCTCCCCTTCCATCAGCTTCCTGTAAGTGAGGATCTCCACATCCAGTGCCAGCTTGATGTTCATCAACTCCTGATACTCCTTCACCAGGTGAGCCATATCCTCCTTGCTCTTCTGTAGGGCTTCTTCTAGCTTGACTAGTTTGGCTTTGGCATCCTTGAGGGCCACCTCACCATGCTCTCCTGCTTCTTTAATGTGCTCCTCCAAGTGCAGGCACTGGTGTTGCAAGGGGAAAAGGGCAGTGGAGGTGTTAGGTGTGTTTGAGTTTCAGACCTGTACTTCAGAGTTTTGTCACCCACCCCAGGACACACCTGGCTCTTTTGGGACACGATGCAGGACCTCAGCTTCTGGATCTGTATGTTTAGGTCTGCGATCTCCCGTCTGCTGTCAAGGAGGTGAACCCCATAGGTGCCTGACTGGGTGCTTCCTTCATTCAGCTGCAGGAGAGATGGAACTGTGGGTTATCTGCATGTCCTCTGCTGTAGCAAAGGTATCTGCACAGATTCCCACTGACCTTAAGGAGAAACATCTAAGTGGGGAAAAATAGCAGGTGTGCAGAAGGATTTAGGGCCCGTTTTCATATCCTCTTCTGACTGAAGCTGTGCCTGGTGTAGAGCACACTGTCTCTTGGGGTCAATCACATTCTTTCGTGCTCTCTTTGGAGGAGCACCAGTGGAAGGTCATTTGCATCCTAGGCAGCCAAGCTGGCACTGGGAGATGTCCTTACCTTTCTCCACTGATGGTGTGGAGAGCCCAGAGGAATGAAACTCCTAATTTACACACCTTAGTGAGGAGGAGTTGATCTAGGTTAGCACTCTGTCCCTCCCTCCCTTCCCAGGTGTCTGTCCCTCCACATCTTGTTGATTCATGTAGTTTCTAGGCTGCTCTCTCTCCCTCTTCTTTCCCTGCCTCTCTGTCCCTCTCTGTATCACTCAGATAGAGACAAATACCTTCCTCCTGGTAAGTGCTTCAGCCTCCTCCCAGCTCCGAAGAGCCAGAGCTTCATACTGGGCCCTCACTTCTTCCACGATTCTGCTCAGGTCAAGTTTGCATGCATTGTCAATTCCCAGAACAACAGAAATGTCCTTAATTTCTGTCAGCAGCTCCTCGAGTTCCTGAAAAGCAAAGAGAGAATTAGGACTGAAATACCAAGTAGTCAACAAAACTACAAGCCAAGGGGAGAGCTGAACTCTGGCAGATCTGCTGGGCTTAGTTAGGCAAAGCATCTTCCATACACAGTGTAGAGATGGTGAGATTTCCTGGCTTTTCAGCCTCTGAAGTTTGGAAGCTGGTATTATTTTCTCCATAACATCCAGACTCAGGCTAAGGTGTTGGTTTAGGATCTGAGAGAGAGCCCTGGAGCAGCTAGAACAAGTCCAGAGGAGGCCACGAGGATGATGCGAGGGCTGGAGCAGCTCTGCTGTGAGGACAGGCTGAGAGAGTGGGGGCTGTTCAGCCTGGAGAAGAGAGGGGTCCAGGGAGATCTTATAGCGGCCTCCCAGTACCTGAAGGGGCTACAAGAAAGCTGGGGAGGAACTTTTCATAAGGGCAGTTAATGACAAAACAAGGGGAAATGGGTTTAAGCTGAAAGAGGGGAGGTTTAGATGAGATATTAGGAAGAAGTTCTTCACTGTGAGGGTGGTCAGACACTGGAACAGGTTGCCCAAGGAAGTTGTAGATGCCCCCTCCCTGGAAGTGTTCTCGGCCAGGGTGGATGAGGCTTTGAGCAACCTGGTCTAGTGGAAGGTGTCTCTGCTGATGACAGGGGGGGTGGAACTGGATGAGCTTTAAGGTCCCTTCCAACCCAAACCATTCTCTGATTCTATGATTCTATGATTTGGGCTCACCACCTGTTAAGAGTCTGACAAAATGGTGCATTTATACTGCATCAAGAGCAGGTTCATTGAACTGATGATCATGCTTCGGTGTCTGTCAGCATTCAGCTGGTGGACATGTATGTCTTGAGCAAGAAATAGGGCAGTGTGAATCATTTTGCAGGGTGGTGGTGTTAGAAGGATGTCATTGCCGAGCTCTGCCTCAGTATCTAGACAGGCTCTGGCTGCCATTTCTGTTCTTATAGTCTTGTTTTGTGTCTGGGAAAAGAAGGGAGAACCAGGACCCTTCTCTGAACACATCCATCACTAGCAGACCTGTTCTGCTCCCCAGAGCTGCTCTCCTGTGCTGGGGAAACTCAAGCCAACATGGGGGAAGCAGGAGCAGGGACACACAAGCTGCAGTGTCACTGTTGGGGTTATTTGCTCTCAATAGCTGACTGGGTCACAGCTTTAGGAAAAGGAACCAAACAATGTTGAATGCAGACTCCCCTCAGTGAACCTGAAAAGGACCCTTAATCCCTGCCTGTAAACTCTACTCCTGGGTGGTTTGTATCCAGGCAAGACATGACTTGATGTTGAGCAGATGGTTTAAACATTCACTTGGCAGCTTCCCCCCTCCACAGCCTCAGACTGCTCCTTGCAGGGGTGTCACTCTTATCAGTATCTCTGCAGTCGCTTCTGATTTACACCCGTGTTAAAAGAGAGCAGCATACCTCTCTCCCCATCTCTTAACCTTTCATCTTGCTGGTTTTGTTCTTCCCTTTTATGCTGAGGGTTCTAATCTCTTTAGAGAAGCATTTGTATACCTTGTTTGCCTTGCCTTCCCCTGGCTGGGGAAACAAAGGGCACCCTGACATGGTGATTCATGAATAACAGAAAAAATACCCCACCACTCTTCCAAAGAGCGGGATTATCAGTGTATTTTTTCCCACTGGTGTTTAATCCTAGAGCCTCTTTCTTAATCTTTCAGCAGTTTAATAGCTCTATGAGAAAATGCATGTTTACTGCAAATACTTGAGCATCCTCTGCCGGCGGGGGGAGAGGGGGGGAAAAAAAGAATGTGGTGTTTTATTAATAAGGATTGAAGCTGAGATTTCCTTCTGATTCACACCAACGTGCTGTGAGCAAAGCTGTCAAGCAGAGTTTTCCTCATTTGCCCTTCCTTTGGCTGTGTGTACCTGCACATTGATGTCAGTCCAATCAACAGGTACAGGCGAGAAAATGACTAACCTGACAAGAAGCTATTGAGAGGAGAGGGCAGAGACAGAGGTGGGGGATAATTTCTTTGCATGAAGCATAGCTAAAAAGAAAAATGCAGGACCAGCAGTGTGGGACCTGGAGGAAATCAGCTCAAGAAGATCATCAGTCCAGAGGAGGCCACAGGGATGATGCGAGGGCTGGAGCAGCTCTGCTGAGAGGACAGGCTGAGAGAGTTGGGGCTGTTCAGCCTGGAGAAGAGAAGGCTCCAGGGAGCCCTTCTAGTGGCCTCCCAGTACCTGAAGGGGCTCCAGGAAGGGTGGGGAGGGACTTTGGCCAAGGGCAGGGAGTGAGAGAACAAGGGGTGATGGCTTGAAAGTGGCAGAGGGGAGATGGAGCTGAGATGTGAGGAAGAAATTGTTTGGTGTGAGGGTGGTGAGCCAGTGTCCCAGGTTGGGCAGAGCAGCTGTGGCTGCTCCTCCCTGGAAGTGTTTGTGGCCAGGCTGGATGAGGCTTTGAGCAACCTGGTCTAGTGGAAGGTGTCCCTGCTGCTGGCAGGGGGGTTGGAACTGGATGAGCTTTAAGGTCCCTTCCAACCCAAACCAGTCTGTCTCCAGTTACCCCAGTGAATTGCCTTGCACCAGGAATAATCTTATAATTCTAGAGAAAGTAAGGCTTCATGCAGGCAGAGTATGTGTTCTAATACAGTCTGATGTTATGCAGGTCCTTCTGTCTCTCTGTGCCTTAGTTTCCCCACAAGGAATGTTAACATTCTTCTTGTCAAGCATTTTAATTATTTGTATTGATAGAATTCAGACAAATCATGAGTATTCCCAAAATACTGCCGAGCCTGCTCGGTAACATTTTACAGGCTCTGAGTAAGTGACTGAAATCACATCACTCTGAGTAGATACAGGTGGCTTTGGGTTTGTCTGAAGGCCTGCAGATGACTCTGTGTCCATCCCCAAATCATACCTGACTGCACACTGCTCATTTCAGTGGAAGTGAAGTGTGTTGGGTTGTGTTAAAGAGCATCCAGCACCTCACCCGGGTTCATCACAGCTCATCCTGTTTTGTTGTCATCCCTTCTTCTGACTCTGAATAGAATCATATTCAGCTCACTCATGACTTGGGGTGCTTGGTCTCAAGGCAAATGCTGTCAGCACAGAGTAGGAGCAGAGTCCAGAAACAACCAACTTGGGAATTAGCTGGAGTTTCCAGGCTGTTAAAGGGGAGACCCACTGGAGCTGCTGCCCTGCAGCTGTGGGGCAGAAGAAACATCTTGATCTAATTTAGAATGGAGCTGGTTTAGTTAAGGGGAAGGGATTTAGCTTGTGAGACCCTGCCTCAAGGCATCTAATAGTTGTCTGCAACACCATGCAGCTCCCTGGACAAGCTCTCCTTTTGCTGTAAATCCAGAACAATGTCCTCTCTGTAGTGCAACTATCCACAAAAATGCCTTTTTTTCTTTTTTTTTTTCTTTTTTTGCATAGTAGCTTGTGTGTTCCTGAGCTGCTCTCCTGACTGTATTTTTACCTGCTTGTAGATAGTTTTCTTCAAATCCATCAGCTCTTGGAGCCCGTTGAGTTTTACCTCCAGCTCAGTTCTGTGCAAGGTGCTCACATCTAAATCCTACAGGAGATGGAAAATATATTACACAATAGTTTGTAGCAAGAAGTCTTTCCCACTACCACCTCTCCCCCAGCAAGTGCCCTGCTTGCTATTTCTTGGCAGGTACTTAGGAAACTGCTCTCCTGCTCTGCTAGTAGAGTCTCTCCTTTGTGGACTTTTTTCCCCCTTTTTTTTTTTCCTTTTT